CCTTCCTACGCCTGCTTTCTCCTCGCGTAGAGCAATCAGACGCCCGTAGACGTCTCCAGCAGCTCCGCTTTTTGGATTGTGTTGTCGCGGCAGCTGCTGCATCTCTTCACCCTTAATAAGGGTGATCGCGCTCATCCACCCTCTTCTCCAGGGCCGTGGAAAAGTAGCGCGCGAGAGCTGACCAATCCACCGAGGTTGTTTCTGTTGAGTACGCCTTTCGGGAAGTCGTCTACTTCTTGTAAAGCTATGAGGTGACGCTTCAAACGTGTGAGTGCTCCATTCTCATTTTCATTTTCCCCGACCCGTAATTGACTCGAATCGCTTCTCGTAAATCATTGCACAAAGTAGATGTTGAGCAGGCCGCCTCTGTTACCCACGTCACATAGCTTAAGGACTTCATCTTTTCCGTAGCCTCTACTCCGGAGTTTCACCCAATCGTCGCTACTATCCACCAGAGGAGCTAAATTATTTGGCGGCGCTCTGGCGAACCGCGCCTTCCAGTCATCTAACCATCTGAGAGTGCCCCGATCATCCGAGCGACTACGATACGCGATGAGGCTGGCTTGCACGCAGTCTCGTCTCCATTGGGAAGTCCATTCCATGAGCGTCTTGTCACTAAGGGAGGCCATAAGTTCTTCAGGGAATGCAAAGCGTTGGATCATGTGGAGAAGCATTGTAGGTTCCGCTCTTGCCGTCAAGATCCATTCTTCTTCAGTGCTCTGTTCAAGTGGGAATGGAGCGCTCGCTGTCGATGGCCATATCGATTGCATTTGTTGCCATTGTTCTGGCCAAGCCTCTCGGACAGGCTTGGTCGGAAGCGTGGGCACCATGGCCTGGTCTGCTTGCTTCGGAGCTTCCTGCAACTGCTGATTAGTGTGATCTCGTTTGGCCTTCACTCCTTGTCGTATAGCTTCGCACTCCATTGGCGTGAGCGTATGTGCTCGTTTGGTGGGCGCTTTCGGAGGGGGTTGCTTGGTTCGCCGGGGTGTTACTGTTGGCTGCGAGCTGTCCTGGCTACTCCCGGACGATGGTTCGTATAACGATGCGGTCTCTTCCTCCGCTGCACCTTCGCTGATCATATCGCGCTGAATCACTCTCGTATGCGCCGATTGAACTGTTGATTTCCACTGCTGTAAGACAACTTTGGAGATTTGATACTTCTGCAAGAGCTGCCTAATTTCAGGGTCGTTCTCCTTTGTTAGATCCAACCGGACCAACGCCTGTCGTTCTGCATACGTGAGTTGCATAGCTGTATTAACCAGGAAGGCTAAAAGTTCGTCGAACCGGGTCGGTTCCGCCTGCTGGAGAATGACGTGTATTTCACATTTCAAGTCATGCGGAATTGATAAGCCGGAGAGCCGTCTCTTGAGTTCATCTAAATCACCATCACAGGCCGTCGGATCCCACGGATCATCATTATTCCTTTGAGCTTGATCGGAGCTCGCTACTTCGCGTGGTTCCGAGTTCATGTCCACGTCTGCATCCCTTGCCAGCGGCCCTACACGTTTTTCTTCGTATGGCGTGTTTACTGTTGCGACGGGGATTTGGAAAGCCGCTGAATGTACGAAAGCCGAGTAGTGGCGGCCCCAGAAGCGAAGAACTAGCGGCCCAGTCTGTGGGTCGTCAAGTTTGGCTTGATAGATTCTCTGAAGACATTCCTGTAGCTGAAGCGGGACCTGTTGACCAGTTTCGAAAAATTTTCTGCCCCGTGTCATACTACTCGGTCGATACTCCGAGCAGTGCCATTGTTTTTTTTCATCAGTGTCAAAAGCTAAGACGAAGATGCGTCTACGGAGAAAATTCGCTGCAGTGGCCATCAATTCACTGGAACCCCAGTTGTATCTTGATACTGAGTCTAATATCTTGGAGGAGGAGGCCGCATACTCTTGCAGATACCATCTAAACTGTTTGCTCGATTCCTTCGGACCCATTCCTTCCCATCCCCTCCCCATATTCACTAAGGTGGTGGTCCGGGTGAAATGATCAAATTGCTCCATACAGTTGAGCTGGCCTGCCCAACAGATTCCCCGTTTGATCGCCGCTGTTAACTTTTCCATCGTTGCAGGTTTGGCTGCCAAATTTTGGTCTGCCAGTGCCTGCGAAATCGCCATCGCCATGCAATTTCCGGACGCTGGGGTAGAGACTTCTTTCATGCCTAGACTGCTCTCAATCTGTTCGAACGTCGCAGCTTCTTCCAGTGAGTCAGGATGAAGTGGCAAGCTACTCCCATGACTGTCTCGCAATTCTTGGAGGATATTGCCTATAACTCCATGTTGACGCTGCTTTAATGCGATGAGTTGGGACGTTTCCGGCAGCTTGGGCAACTTCGTCTTCACTAGGTGCAATTTGGCCTTCGCAGCTGCTGTGATGACTGGTTTCGGTTCTAGCCCCTGCTCACTACCTGAAGATAACTCCACGACGTCTCGAGCTGGAGGATGTTCCTCCGATTTTTCTTCCTCTGCCGGATCCTCGTCATCCGCATCAAACAGCTCCGAGTAATGAGTTGTCACCTTGATTCCTTTTCGCTGTAATGCTGCTGGGTGAGCATATAGAGTCCTGCCGCGAGCAAGTGACACTTTCGTCCACTGGGTCCCCGATGTCCGTGCTGCTCGGGCGCTTTGCGGAGGGGCAAACGACGCATTAGGCTGACTGTGTTGGCCTACGTCGGCCGCTACTTTGGTCTGCTCTGTCGTCCTGAGCTTCTGCTTAGGTGGCGCTACTGGCTCGAGGGCAGCTTCTTCCTGTCGATACGCTTCCTCCTTGACCTTCAGTCTCGCCTCCGTACTTCGCTTCATATCTGCTGGGCTGGTGAACGACTTGGCCAAGCTGTCGAGACTCGCGACTTGTTGGTCGTCTGCTACCCGACTGCCGACACCTTTAAGCGCCTCATCAGACATCTGGCAGCGAGCCATGAGGTGTCCGAGGTTACCGCAACGGAAACACTGTAGCTGTTTCTTCGCGTAAGGATGCTTCAAGATGAGCATCCTTCCGAACCAAATGATCCTGACAATTCCTCTCAGATATTCCGGGCATTCCGCCGACTTCATTCGCAAGGTCCACGCCGTGGTTCGCATGGAATTCGGCGTGAATGAGTCCATGTTCACCAATTCAAATGGAACTGCCAGATGCTTGGTCAGGAACGCTGTGAGGCGACCAATGTCAGTGAACCGCGTTAGGTTGTGGATCTCCACTTCGTACTCGCGCTGTGTAGTCCTGCGTACTCCAGCGCTGTTCAACTGCCTCTCCCATACTGATCCGGTGTCCGGACGATGGACATTTCCCAGAGAGTACATTACGCCTCGGAAGGGCACCTGCAGTCCCTGGAACTTCGCCGCAGTGGCTCTGTCGAAGAAAAAAATGTGGATGCTGCGTTTGATGTCGTTGTACGCGATGGTCTTCGCCAGGTTGAGCATGTGTTGCAATTCGTGGACGTTAATCCTCGCTTTCGCCGCGTCCAGCAGTATGTCTTCCATGATCAGTCGAGTCTGCTGTCTGCTGTGTTTCACTCGTGCTCTGCCGCGCAATTGCATTACTAGTTCACCCTCCACCTGTTGCTGGATGGTGGTGTGCAGACGCAGCCTTTCCTGGGAATCGAATACGCTGCTGAGGAAATCCGGCATGCGACGACATGCGATGGTTCCTTCGGCTATGCCCACAATGACCGTCCACTCGTCTGCCGTTGCCTCTCTCAGGTGTTTATCGCCTTGGGCTGCGTGAACCTGTTCACAAATCGCCCTGAACTTGACAATATCAGGTTTGGAGAAGCAGGCTGGATTGAACATGAAGGTGTCGTAATGACTACTAGAGGCACCGGCCTCCGACCCACTTGCTCGGTTGGAGGCGTCTGCTGTCATCCCTGATTTCACTTTTTCCGCCCATTGATTGAGCGATGGAGTTCGAGCCCAACGGGCCTTGCTAATCCTGCTGTACATTATGTTTTTGAATGTCCAGCGGGTGTTGAGCAAGTCTTGGGTCACTGACGTGATACACTGTTTCCAGGCTGCGTACGTTCCATTCCCAATCACATTCATCTCTCGGAACAAGTTGTATAGCAGTGCCTTTTCATCTCCTCGCAACTTGGGGTATCGCTGCTTGTTGGGGGGCACAATGTCTTCCTCAATGCTGACCAATCTATGGATGATCGCATAGAGCTCGGCGATCGTGGTGACCCACTCATCTCGCGGTTGTTCACCAGAGCTCCGCTTGATAATCGTCACTACGGCACTGAACATCTCCTCCGGTTCCACCGTTATAACTTCGTCCAGGATAGGCGTAGTGTCTTCCGTCCTTCCGTCACCCGGATTAGCATCGGTCTCCTCTCCCCGCATTGGCGTGGTCCCTGGCACCGATGTGATTCCGGTCATCGGCTCTTGTTGCTGCTGGATGTCTTCGGTGACGCTGGGTCGTTGACTCTGTCGAGCTTCTGCCCCGTGTTCCGACCCGCGTTCGTTGTTGTTAGTCCCGTTGTCTCCTTCCGTTGTCCCCTCGCCTACCTGGTCCGGCATGGCTTCATCATCCTCCTGCGACTGCTGCGTCTCCGGGACAATGGAGTCTTGCGACCATATGGTCTCCAACTCTTCCATTGCGCCCTCTGGATCTTCGAATTTTTCTTGTTGGTTTTGCTGTTTTTCCTCCCTCCCTCGCCGGTCTACTCCTCCGCTCTCCTCTGCCTTGCCGATAGCCGTTCGCCCTGCTCCCTTTCCTGATGAACCTTTAGCAGCCGTGTCTCCTCGACCCCTGTCAGGGGGTGGAGGCTTCGGCGGCTTCATCGCGCTCAAACGCTTGCTCGAAGTTTGTACCAAGCCTGCACGAATTTATACTCCGCCACGGGTCGCTGATGTACCCACTGCACCGCAGATTGGAGAGTGTGAGTCAATTGAAACAAAACCTCGTATTAGTGATCCCTTTGAAGTTTAGGAATCATTTTGTCAGTCGAATTATTGTGGACCTTTTCTGTCAAATAAAGACGGCCAAAATTCAGAGCTTCAACTACTGTACCAATGGCCCATTTGGGCGCGGTGGTGATGATCACCACTGCGCCTAAGTCTCACTTTCCAATTGCCTGTGTCCCGAGCAATCAAGCAGCACAACACAACCTAAACCAAGACAACCACGGCCGGATCCGACACCGTCAACGTGGTGGAGCAGGCTGTCAGCCTCTTCTACTCTACCTTCAACCAGCACACCAACGTCCCGCGCGAGGCTTTGACCATCGCCGCCGCACCCGGACGCGTAAACCTCATCGGCGAACACACAGACTACAACGACGGCTTCGTGTGTCCATTGGCACTGGACAAGACGACGGTAGTGGTGGGTGTACGCGCACCCGCCGAGTCTGCGTCCATCACCAAGTTGGCGTCAGCGAGCTTCCCCAACCAGCTGCTCGAGTTCCCGGCCAACAGCACGGAGCAACTGGACAAGACGCAGCCATCGTGGGGCAACTACCCCAAAGGTGTGACGGCTAAATATCTTATGCATTTGAGCCGCAAGGAGCCTCTCGGCGTGCACGCTGCCATCGTGAGCACCGTGCCATTCGGTAGCGGGTTGAGCAGCTCTGCAGCGCTGGAGGTGGGTTTCGCTACTTTTTTAAAGAGTCTGTTCGAGATCAAGGGCGTGTCGGCCATCCAGAAGGCGCTGCTGTGCCAGGCAGCCGAGCACGAGTACTGCAACGTACCGTGTGGCATCA